AAAAATATATATATATATATATATATAAATAAATGTATTAAAAATATTATATATATATTACAATAAATTTATGTAAATATTTAATAAACTATTATATAACATTTTAATATAAAAAATAATATAAGTAATATTGTATACAGTATATATGTATTTATTTTTTCAATATTTAAATTTATTTGTAATGAATTGTATTTATTTACATAAATCTTTAAATATTAAACATATAGCAAAGTTTTGCTGAACATGGTGCAGTCAAAGGCAACAATTTAAAGAAACATACTTAGGAACTTGCATACAACTTATTGTGATTAAAAGAAAAAAAGTACAATTCAAGGTAATGTGTTTCCAACTAAACTGCCAGTGATAAACGCATAATATAAACTAAACCTGCTTTGTCATCTTCCGACATCCAGATGGTTAATCGCATTGCGTTTGCAAGCAGTTTTAAACATGGACTTTAACTGCAGCACTCCCACTGCAAATGAACTTTGACCTTATCTGATGACTTATCACTGAAAGTAAAACTTTATTACTACAATAAAACAGTCTAAACAATCTCATGCTGGACTAAAAGGGCTTTAAACCAAGACAGAATGGTTTGCTCTAGAACAATGCTTTTGCTATGTTCAGACCAGTTAATTTTTGAGTAATAAGCTTTAAGAGAAGATAACAGAAACATGACAACGAACATTAGACAATGCTCCCTCAAACATGGTCCAGTTACTGGTCCATCGCACATCAGAAATGTACAGAGCTAAAATTTCAAACCCTCTAAATATTAGCACAAACACAGAAGAAAAGATATCATACACACAGCACGCACATATAGATTTCACACATATCTCTATATATCACATTCTGTGCTTCCAAACAGAAACACAGATGGAGAAAGAGGCCATGTTTAAATCTGAAATTAAGGGGCCAAAATTTTTTATCATTACTGAATCCACATTAGGGATGGGCGATACCCCTTATTTTGTTTTCGATACGATACCGGTTTTTTTCAAGGCAGTATCGTCGATATCGATACCGATTCGATACTTCTGCACTAAACTTTTAAATTATGAAATGTATTAAATTATTAAATTACTAAGAGTAAAATGGGTAATGAAAACCACTTAATTGTACGCATTATTATTATTATTATTATTATTGTTAAATAAACAAAACCACTGGTAAATAAAGCGCACCTTAGTATCGATATTTTTTGTTTGAGTATCGATACTTTCGATACTCGCGTCAGTATCGATATATCGATACTTCGGATCGATACGCCCATCCCTAATCCACATTCACACTGCAATTCACTTTCACACAAGCAAATATTGCACAAAGACTGCATGATCACTGTGGACCAGAGGAAAGAACAAACCTGCAGATCTTCCATATATAGACTCAACAGGCTGTCAGAGTAAGACTTCAGTAATTCTGTAGGGGTTTGTGGGTCACAGCTGCACTGGCAAAACACACTACATGTACCATCTACTAGCTTCTGGGCAAAGCTTGTTTATCTGATCAGCTACATTCTGCTGAAAAACATTCATCTGACCTGCTGCAGACCTCAGATGTCTAGCACTTCAGACTGATCTCAGGAGGAGATCACTACTTAACAGGGATATTTCACCCAGAAATGAAAATGCGGTCATCATTTACTCACCCTTATTTCAATCCAAACCTCTACGATTTTCTTTCTTTTCATGTTGGGCAGAATGTTGTATGCTCTTTGCCATACATTGAAAGTGAATGGTGACCAGTGGCTTTCAAGACAAATATCTTTGCGTGAGCAACAGACAAAAGTCTTTGAATGTGCGCATATTCAGATTTTCACCAATCACCATTAGTTACAAATCGCGATGTACTATTGACTTTCTGCATTACTGATGTTAAACCTGCCATGCCACATCTTGTCATGCCATATTTATGCAAACATCAAGGAGATTTGAAAGAGAATAATGACATGGTGACATGAAATACAAATTATCCATGAATATATTTAATTTATTTACCTTGTCATTTTTAATCAAAATGTCATAACTCAATCTTCCATTGAAACATCTCTGGACTCTCTGGTGTCAGACTTCTCCAATCATTCAGTCCACTTAAACATCGCCCCTCATTACAACCCAACTGCAAGCTTGCATTCAGATCTGCCACCATCCAATCAAAAACCAATGGATTGAACCAAGTCCCCATCCTACAATTTTTAGTTTTTTGATAATCCATTTTACTCAGATGTATGTCACAGCATGAATGAAATAATCTGAGTTAACTTCTGTTACAATGCGACTTTGAATGCAAGCATGTTCCTGACACAAAGCTGTCTTATGGCTTGGGCATTTTATAAAGCTTTTTATCATTTTTGGACCTCGACAGCCCCAGGTCACCATTCTTTTCAAATGTATGGAAAAGAGCAACGTGAACATCCTGATAAGCTTCTCCTTGCGGTTCATGGAAGCAAATATACTGTACAGGTTTGGAATGACATGAGGGTGAGCAAATAATGACAGAATTATTTATCGCTTTAATCATCTCCCAGCCCTTAGCGAATAAGTTCATGTACAAACTCGCATTGCTGTGTGCTCACCTCGAGATCCTGTGGTTGCGTCTTGTGTGTGACTAAGAGAAATGGGGCAGGGCAGACTGTTTCTCGACCGGGTCACTGACTCAAGCTGAGAGGCTCTTCCCAGCAGGGATGCCGCATCCAACACCTCCCCCTCTTTTGCCTCCAGGTCCGACTTGGAGGTGGTAAGGGGTCTGGAACTTGCTGGTGCCCCCAAATGGTGGGGGTCATTAAGGCAAGCAGTAGTGCTGCTGTCCAGGCTCAAGACCCGGGCATGAGTTTTGGCGCTGCCTGTACTTGGAGTGCGTCGCGAAGCTTTGCGCTTGCCCTTCTCCTTGTCTTTCTCCCGTTCCTTTTCCTTGTCCTTCTGACCGTGGGTTTGCACACCGTTCATTTTGGCCCGTAGAGAGGGGCCACGGCGATCCTCAGGAGAGGGGCAGGAGTGGGGTGTGCTGGATGAGGAGTCTGTGCTGAGCTGGTGGGTGGAGTGTAGGCTGGAGGCACAACTAAGTTCGCTCTGATCACTAGAGTCTTCCTCTCCTTTCATGAAGACCGCAGAGCGAGGCTTTGCCATGCCACGTCCGCAAATGTATTCCCGGTGTCTGCTGGCGTCAAAACTGCTTGCTCGCTGCTTACCGTTTCGTCGCCGGCCACTACGGCTGGCGGCGGATGAGGAGGCAGCCCGGTGAATGAGATTGGCTGTTTTGGGACGCATTTCGTCTAGTTCTGCCTCCTGGTGCTGGTGGGACATACCAGCAGAGACATCTACGCTAGTCCTTGATGCCGCCTCCACAGTTCCCTCCCCCTGTTGGCCCTCTGAGTTTGCAGGTTTGGGAGCATCGCCAATGGGCAATTTGGTAGCAAGTTCGTTGGCATGGGGGTTTTTATTAGCCTCCCCCGAGGCTACATTAGAGTTACGTGGGTCGGCATGTCCCGCATTTACCTTCTCGTCCCCAGACAGCGACAGCAGGCTCTCTACGTGCGTGGAGCTTGTCTGCTCGCTGTGCAGGCTACTCAAAGTACTATTGGTATCCCGGTCCGTCCCACTGCAGTAGCTCTCAGTGGAGCCGCTACTGCGTGTACTTAAACTCCGCAAACTTTCGGCACTCCGCCCACCTTTTCTTTCCCGACCCCCCTGTACACCCTCCGACTGGTACAACCCAGATCCCCCTTCCCCTGCACACTCTCCTTCCCCTGTCTCTCGGGAAACAGACCGTGATATCCTGCGGCGTTCCTTCGGATGATATCTGTGACACTCTGTTCCTGAAGTGCTGGGAGTCCCAGAGTCCGGCTGCTCGGAGCTCTCTGTCGCCCTCTGTGACCTGGAGTTCTCCATTTCACAGACAGGATCCAGTCCTCCCCGACGGGGTGGAGGGTTCAGGCTGAACTCGGGCAGAGAAGGATCTGGAAAAGCAGATCCCGCAGAACTTGATGTGCGAGGCAATCTCCGAGGTCGAGATGACTCTTTCCGGAAAGACTGTGAGTGGGTGGAAAGATGGGCAGGAATTTCGGTGTCACAAGAGGATAGGGACTGACTAAAAGGGTGAGGGGTGGAGCCATAAAGGTCCTGAGCCAATGAGGTTGATGGCTGCATGGAGGCAAAAGAGTCATTGGAGACGAGGCAGAACATCTTTGGGTCTGACATCAAATCTAGAGGGTAAGAGAAATATAAAAAAAAAAGTGTAAGAAATTTACATCGACTTCAAGATTGAAGTCAAGATTGGCCCTATGGGCATAATGGACAATCCAGGTCTTACTGCAAACGATTTATCGGACCGTGTTATGTTATAAAAATCTAATGACTTTCTCTTCATTGTGACTTTCCTTTTCTCACTTTTAGTCAATTATAATGTGTTTACATTGGCTCAGAGCAAGAGCAGGGGAGTGGGTGCTTTCAATTCATTCCTATGGGAGTCAAGCAACACGCTTGTGTGATTGATAGCAGGATTGACAGCAGATCAGAGAAAGTGGTGAAAGAGTTGAAGAGTATAGAATTGTCAACTTCACATAAATATCAAGTGAAAATTGCAGTAAGGTGCAGGTATTGACATTTGTAACAAACATTAAAAAAATATGCAGACTGTGCAGGAGTTTCTGCTGGATTTAGTGTGTAAATCATATTGTTTATATATTGCACACTTTCCAGTTGTTATATACAAGTTAAATATTGCAGTTTAGAATTTCATTGTGAATGAAGACTTGCTGGGTTAACAATCTTTAGTTTAGGCATTCAGAAGCAAAGCTTGCATCTTTCCAAATGTAATTGTGTGCATATATAATGATTATATCAGTGGTTTACTGACAAAAATAAAAACTCATTACATACACAACCCAAAGTGGCAGTGTTGTAGTGTTTTGAGTCAGTTTCTCCGCTGCAATGTTCACGCATTGTTAGGCAGTGCAGGCCTTATAATAAAGTTAATCAATAACCAAATAGCCACTTTTCAATCATTGGATAAATGATGATCCAGCATTACAGTCCAACATTTAAAAATAAGCCCTGAGACCCCATTTCGCTCCATTTAGCTGTTTTTGAATCCAAAAACATGTTTAAACACTTAAATAAATCAGGGTCAAGTCAAAATGTAGTTATGTACATTCATAATAAACACAGTTTCTTGAGCACTAATGCAGCGTTAAGAACTGATACAGTCCTCTGCCAAAATCAGTTACAACTCCATTACCAAGAATCCATTCTGCACACTATCCAAAAACCACTGTCCATAAGGTCTTTTGATTATGTGCTTTAGAATGTCTGAGCCCAGCGTGCAGTGCTGACGTTACCTCTCTGTGTCATCTTATTATTCACAAAAGGCTTTTATACTGATCACAAACTGTAGGTTTGGAGAGACATCCATTTTCATCTTAGAGAAGTTTCAGCTCTATATTACAGGTTTTCAGCTTTTATGAAACAGTTTACAGTTGAATAAAACTGCAATCAGTAAGAATACGAGCCTAACCGACCAATTCTCTGTTCTGCTGAGGACACAAAGACGTTTTATTGCATGTATGACTCTGAGAAACTTTCCCAAACCACCAAAGTACCTTGTGAGCCAGTTTAGAAAAAAAATACATAAATTGCACATTTTCATTGCCATTAGAAAGTGAAGGGAAAACTGATTCCTGATGGTATTATCTTTGAAATCTATCCTATAAGAAAAGATTTGACATACATCAGTGTCTGTCTGGATGTTACATGGAAAAAACAACTTCAAACAGATTTAGAATAACACGAGGGTGAGTAAATAATGACAGAATTGGGTGAAAAGAGACTAATTTGCATGGCATTATTCTATAGCTGAAGTTAATTAAGATTCACACCTTGGTCTTGACTGCAACTCTGAGCCAAACTCAAACTGATGTCATCAGGAGCCTTTCCAACACCTGCCCCTGCAAACAGACAGAGAGAGAGAGACAGAGAAGGTCAAGTTTTATAACTTATTCATTAACCTAATATATCCGCCCTCTCTCTCTCGCTCTCTCTCTCTCCCGCTCACCTTTGCAACTTTATTCAAACACATCCCTGACGTGGCCTGTGCCCGCAGTACTGCAGGTCCTCTGACATATCGCTGCTGTCTGCAGAAAACCTCTTCTCTTTGATCCTAAACACTTCTATTTATAGCTACGGTAAACCTGGTTCACAACACAGTGTCCTTTGAGTTTTTAACAACTCAAAAAAAGTCATACAACTTCTAGTGAACACCCTGTAATGTTCCTGCTGCTGTCATCTTAAGACTACAGGGTTGCTATATAAATATATATATATATATATATATACACACACACACACAATCAATAATGATTGATCAAGAGACAGGAGATTCTTGACAGGCAAGACTTTTGTTTAAATGCAGGTGAGTAAATAATGACAGAATTTTCCATTTTCAACTATTCCTTTTTTTTGGTTACCAGATACTAATACTGTCAGAAGTTTAAAAACAAAATTTATGACTCACGTTTGGTTGTGACTGAGCCTCCATGGGATGTTATCTGCAGGGAGAGAGAGATGGATAAGATCAATGAAACAGCTCTGATGAGTCATTTACATGAGATCATGACGTTTGTAACTTCCCATCACTGTTACTAATTTAGCAGACTTGCACAAAAACACATCACAGTCATTTAATCACATGACATAACTAACTGACATGACTTCAGCTTGAGATTCCGCTTTATGATTTCAGGATTCAACAATCAGTTTCTGACCCAACACACAGACAGTTTGGGACAAGCAGTACAATAAGCCAGAACATAACACCCCTGAGGTTTCACCAATTAAACTGCAGCAAAAGGCAGAGATTCTGACTGAAAGGTTGCCCTCAAACAGACAAAGACTCTAAACCAGGACAGCTTCATTTAGCTAATAACACCAATAGCTAATAACACTAATATTCACAAATTTTACCACATAATCAGTGCAGTATATGCACAAAAGTTTTTAAACAAAAATAAATATATATATATATATATATATATATATACATATATATGTTCTTTCTAAATCTGTGCTAAGAAATTAAATTTTGTTCATAAAATACATGACGATTTATTGCAGAGGTGTGTGCACTATATATAAACCAATTTTAACCAAATTTGTTATTAGGACAATATAGGGAACAAATAGAATAAAAGTTATTGGTTCTTGTTCAGCAGCATATTTTATTTATTTACAAGTTAAACTTAAGAGGTAAGAAAAAATAAAGCTGCAGCCATGTCAATTACACAAAGATCAGAAATATGGTAGGCCTATATACTATAGCCTACTGGTCACACTCGTAATTTCTGTTCATATCACTTCTAAAATAAGCATATCAGCCTTGATCAGTTTAACAGTACAAGGATTGACATGAAACTGCTCTTTTAATTAAATTATTGTTATTTTTTACTTTTTCTGTAATTTAATTACTGCATTTAAAGGGGTCATATGATGCTATTTCAACTTTTCCTTTCTCTTTGGAGTCTTACAAGCTCTTGGTGCATAAAGAAGATCTGTAAAGTTGCAAAGACTAAAGTCTCAAAATTAATGTTATTTTTTTAGCAACGTCATATGACCCCTTTAAATTACAGAAATTTAGAATTTAGAAGAATATTTTACTTTAAATTAAATTACAGTAATTCATTACTTAGTAATGCATTACACCCAACTCTGGTTACAATGAACATAATACAGTTTATAATAAATGTTCTCATTGGTAATTTTAGATGTTCTGGAACATAGATTAAAAATTCAAGGTAACTATCACAGAGGTCTTTTTCATAATCAGAAAACTATTATTTCAGTCACGTCTTTATCTAATTATAAAGCAAATAATTATTATTTTTACATTAGAAATTATAATAACATTTGTAGCTTGTCCTCATCTGTTAACGTGAGTGTTGTGACTTCAAAAAACATTTTTGGCTGTGGTGGCACTGGCAAATTGCAGTGGAAATGAATTTCTGTTAACTATATAACATCTAAGGAAACGGATTAATTAATCAAATCAGGTGATAAAGTGCTTCAAAAAAAAAAACCCCCGCAATGCACACAAAAAAGCAAACACAAACACACCTGATGGTTAGAGTCCATTCCTACGTAAGAGTTCCGTGAACTGCAGTCGACCGGTGGCGTCTCCTCCCGTGCAAAATCAGACATCTCTATTCCACCCCCTGGATCCCTGCGCGCCCGCACACACACACACACACACACACACAAGGTTAGTTACCTAGCAACTCTAACACAGGAACAGCCCCAAGGGTTCAAGAGAGTTAACAATGTAATTTATGATCAAACTTGCACAGCAGCTCAGGCACCGGCAGAGAGGAGATCATTTCTAGCGTCTCTCTATCTAATGTCTGTCACCCATTAGCCAGAGATCCACCCCTCCTCCCTTCACTTTTTGGGAGATTATACTATTTTTAATATTTTTAGGAGGTTTATTTTGCTTGGCCCCCCAAAGGATAAAATGTAGCGGTGAAGGGTAATCCCACAGCTAGAAACCATCCATCTATTTCATTATTTTTGCCATTCCATTCGGTGCCGCTAGAGGCGGTTTATTTATTTCATTCAGGACGTATTTGTGGGTCTGGAAAAATTAGGAACACATGAGCTCTTCATACCAAGGGCCCGAAGCAGAGATATATTTTCTTAATTAGAGCCGTCTTACCATGTACAGACCTGGACAACCAAAAATGCCTCTCCAGATGTGTGTTTATAATCCATTTAAGAGGCTCTTAAATCTATTTCTCTTTTACATATAGATAAGAATGCAAAAACATAAGCTACGAGTTCTTTTCTAATGCATGAAAAGTTGTTGATGTCTGTAAAGAGAAAACCTTTGCTAAAATGCTTGATTCATGATTTGAGTTACTGTGTTTAATGTGTTCTGACTCGGTCAGCAATGCTTGCTCTCGTAGAAAATATGCAACCTAGCAATTATTTCACCTCTGAAAGTTTGCAGACCGTTTCAGACTCCTCTGAGTGAATGAACAAGAGCAGCAGCCTGTGTGTGTTGGTTTATAAGGCTCTATTTCAGTTCTCCTGATTCACTCACCCCTGTCCCTCCTCCCTTGTTCTCTCTCTCTCTGTGGGCGATGAATGGATCCAGCATGACAGCAGATTAGTTCTCAGAAACATCCCTACCGCTGAGCAACAGCACTGTCCCTTTAATCAAAACTTTACTGCACTGAACTAGAACCCTTCTGAGCAGAATCTTTCCTGTGAAGACCCAAAAAGATTCAAAAAATCATTACTTTCCTGAACCAAATCAGAATGTTTCTTGAGAAGACTTAAACCCTGAGATGATTCACAACGTGTCTTGGGATGATTCAGACTGTGAGACGTTTCAAAACCTAAAATGATTCAAACCCATTCCAGAGCCTTCCTAAGCTAAATCAGACCTGTTTACTGTGCAGCGACTCACTACATTTTGTTATGGCTTATAAGTAAACCATGATTCTTACCCAGGCCCGTTTGAGTCTTCCTGCCGGGTGCCGGTACCTTCACGTTGGCGCTCTGCCCCCTGGCCCCGTCCCTCGCTCCCTTTGGCCCGCAGCTCCACCACCTCCCCCTCATCCAGCGCAGTGTGCAGGCGATAATTCACTGCCTTCAGCAGCGCAAACATACCTGCTATCACCCCGCAGTAGATACCCACAATCACCATCGTGGGGGGCAAGGCCTACAGAGAAAGAGAGAGATACAGAAAGAGATATTAAATTAGTAGAAAACAAGCAGTTATTGTGGTTTTGATCTATTATACATTATTTTAGTTTTTTTTATTTTATAACACTTTTATTCAACAAAGGATGCACTGACAATAGTGTAATGAGATTAATGTTATAAAAGATATATGTATATCTTTTATTTGTATAAAATACTGTTCTTCTGTATTCATCAAAGAATCCTATAAAAAAGAAAGAAAATCCATCACAGTTTCCACAAAAATATTAAGCAGCACAACTGTTTTCAAAATAAATGATAATAATAAGAAATGTTCCTTGAGCACCAAATTAGCCTATTAGAATGATTTTGAAGTAGTGGCTGCTGAAAAATGAGCTTTCCTGACAGAAATAAATTATTAACATAGAAAACAGTTGTTTACATTAGTAAAAATATTTCACGATATTACAGCTTTTACTGTATAAAATGCAGCCTTGGTGACCATAAAAGACTTATTTCAAAAACACGAAAAACCTTACCAACCACAACTTCTGAATATTTGCGTACTGTACAATCTTTAGTTCTATTACTGATCGATCATTTTTTCCCATCAAGGAAATAAAAAAAACTGTATTTCAAATGTTGACTTTCAAGCACACCGAAGCATTGGGGGTGTGATATTGGGATATGCTCACATATGCCAGTCTATTAACATCCCTCTGTTGTATAAATATCATACACAAATATAGGACCGTGTTATACAGAGTTACAGGGTTATGAAAAGAGGCAACAATATTTCAGTCGCAACCAGAGGGCAGAAGCTAAAAACAGCCTGGCACTGAACGGACATCTGTGTCTCTAGCACAGCCACCCAACACCATAACTGCCCTAAACAGCTCTCCATATCTGACACACACCCAGTCCAATATTCATCAATATTCATTCACAAAAAACACATATATCAGCTTATTGATAGTGATTGCAGCACTACTGTGAGTCTTTACATGATATTGTTTAGCAGTGGTTGAAAGGTAACTGAGTATTTAGGCAGAACCTAGATGCATGGATCTGTGCAGGAAGTTAAAATGGACCGAGTGGCACCAGTCGCTATAGACCTGCCCTGATACTTCACCCACAGAACCAAACATGGCTTTAAAAATAATACACATCATAATACACATCATGCAAACGGGAGAATACCGTTTCATGGTGAAGAGGGATTTTTTTTTTGCTCAAGAGTCGTTATGACAAAGATGAAATCTGTCATTTTTTCCTGCATTTTCTGTAATGATTTTGGAATAAAATATGTGGAATTAGTTTACATAGGGTAAAATGTGGGAAATACAGTTGAGAGTACTACACTTTGTTGGCTGAAAGCATATTAAAAATGAGCTGATATATGTTATGAACAAAGCCACAATGGGTTGGTGGTGGGAAGGTTTTTTTTTTTACTGGCACCTAGGGTTCCAAGAAAAACCTTTAACATTTAGAAGAACACAGCAAGATATTTTAAATTCATAGCAAACAAGACATTCTTGTGGTTTTGAGCTAATAGTGTTCAAACGTTTGGGGTCAGTAAGATTCTTTTAAAAAAGGAATGGTTTTACTCAGATATTCTGGTTTCCACAACATTAGTTGTTCAGCACACCTATTTTCAACAACTGATAATAAGAAATGTTTCTTGAGCAGCAAAGCAGCATATTAGAATGATTTCTGAGGGGTCATGTGACACTGAAGACTGGAGTAATGATGCTGAAAAGTCAGCTAAACAATTATGGAACTATGAAATCTTTATATTATTATTGTAGGGGAAAAGGTTCTGCAGATTATTAAAATGAACTTTTAAGAACTATTCGTTGAAAGGTTCTTTTGGAAGCCCAAATGATTCATCTATGGCAATGCCAGTGTGTTAATATTAAAATTTCTTTCTTCTGTGTATTTTTCCTAAACAAGGGAAGTCAAACAGTTTTGGTCAACAACATTCTTCAAAATATCTTCATACAGATTCTGAAGGACATGAGGGTGAGTAAATTATGACAGAATGTTCACGTTAGGCTGAACTATCCCTTTAAAGCAGACAAGAGACTAAACACAGACCAAACCTCATGACAGCAGGTCTGAAATACCCAAATCCGCTTTAAAACCCAGTCAAAACCAAAACAAATACTCCCCAAACCAAACCAGAACAGATTGAGTGGTTTAAAACAAACAGACCGCAGAGCACCATCGCAATGCAATATCACAAAGCCGAGCATAACCAGAAAAAATACACAGCACATATATTTCCTTCACATTTGCAGGTCTGGAAATCACCGGTTTAAAATTCCCTGATATTTCTAGGTTTTCCATGACCACGGAAACACCGTAAGAGAGATGAAAAGAAATAGGGAAGAGGCATACAGCCTGTGTGTACTGGAAATAGAGAGGTGAGCTAGAAGAACAAGGATGATAGAGAGAGGGGGGATGGAGAGATGGGTAAAGAATGAGGAAAAGACAGAGAGGGGCTGATAACGACTGAAGGACGGAGACAAGAGGGAAACCGTCGGTTGCATCTCTCACCATGTAGAGCGTGAACGGGAAGCAGAGCAGCAGCAGCCACAGGTAAAGGTGAAGTGCGTTCACGAAGGTGTTCTGGTGGGGGTCGTAGTACCATCCTCCCGTCACCGACGCCCACACACCCTGCCGCAGGATCTGGAGGGTCTGCGACCCCATATTTGCCCCCTATCCCCTCTCTAGCCGTCCTCGAGCAGGAGGTACAGCGCTGGCCAGTCGAGCCCCGTCGCAGCCATCTTCTTCTCTGTGGTCCTCCAGCGCTGCGCTTCCCGTCCCATCGTGCTCTGCGCGCACCCGGCAGCTCGAGCAGAGAGTAGCGCTGCGCGACGCGCGTGCTACAGATGAGTTATTACTCTGCAGCGCCACCGCGTGGCGAACGCGTGTATCGACGAAACATCTGGTGCTATACTGATTTTTTTTTTTTTTGCAACCGGTTTACCTAAATACACTATTTAATAAATAAACCAATCCCTCTCCAGATCCACTTAGTCAGTTTGCTTGGTACACGAAAACATGTCGTGGAAATATTTTAAAAGAATCTATCGTGCCGTTATGTATTTTACTGTACGCACGGTTACTGTGCGCATCCAGGTGGAATAAATTAGGCCAGGACTGGCAGTATTTGGGTCGAACTAATTGTCACGGTTATGAATAAAGCGGAATTCTCATCTGGCTAGGAGTCTGTTTTAGAGCACTAAAACAGAGCGCTGTTTACATTCACGCAGCAGCGCAAAATATGCGCCACCCATCTGAACACAAGAGGGCGCTGCGCACTGTATCATCTCTATTTGTGACCATGGACCACAAAACCAGTCATAAGGACAAATTTTTTGAAATTGAGATGTATACATCATCCAAAAGCTGAATAAACAAGCTTTCCATTAATGTATGGTTTGTCGTGATAGGACAATATTTGGCCGAGATACAACTATTTGAATATTTGGAATCTGAGGGTGCAAAAAAATATTCTCAAAATATTGAGAAAATCGCTTTTAAAGTTGTCCAAATGAAGTTCTTAGCAATGCATATTACTAATCAAAAATTTTGTTTATATTTATATATTTACAGTAGGAAATTTACAAAATATCTTCATGGAACATGATCTTAATATCCTAATGATTTTTGGCATAAAAGAAAAATCGATAATTTTGACCCATACAGTGTATTGATGGCTATTGCTACAAATATATCCATGCTACTTATGACTGGTTTTGTGGTCTAGGGTCACATTTAAAGACCACAATCCAATCTATGTTAATCATTATGCCGTTATTGAATCACTTACAAAGGACATACCAAAACATTTTTGATCAGAAAAAGACTGTACAAGTTTTGAAAAACGGTGTATTTTTACTGTGAGTGATAGAATGGCATAATACTACACTCAGCAACACTGAAATATAGAAAATAACATTAAGATGAAATACAGACACATTTCAGTTCCCTTATTACAAAAACTATTAAATTATGAAGAAACTGCATTTATATACAATAACCGTAACAGTCCACCCTTGGTTAGCTGGTGTAGAGAAATATCCACAGAAGTCCTGCAACATCAAAGTTGTTTGTGGCTGACCAGCATGTGTGTCACTGAAGGCGTGCACGCTTCTCAGGAGGTGGTTTGTTGGGTGTAGTTTGTGGAGCTGGCCGAGGAGGGCCAGGAGGGGCTGGAGGTTTCGTCTCTCGCTCTTCTGGAGGCTTCACTGTCTCAACCGGCACTTCTGGTTCTTTCTTTACCTCCACTATGGACAGAGAGTGAGAGCTTATTCACTGAGTGCAGGATGCTTCTAATGTCTACAAAGCTTTTCTTTAGCTTTTCATTTCTTCTATATTAGTGATGAAAGCATTTAATCGGTTACATTTTCCAATGGATAGTCGGTCTTCAATCAAACCACATGTAAACAATACCATATTATGCTGCTTTTTCAAATATATGAATTACAGATGTAATTACACTCACATATTTTTAAATGCAAGTATGATGTAGAGACATGCATGTACAAAATAAATGTGTTGTCCATTCTGTATAATCCATACCATCTACAGCAAATCTGACAAATTGTAATCTGTAGCGTGTGATAAGATGAAACTGAGTCAAGTATTTGCGTACCTGGGACAGGCTTCTCTCCTGGTTTGGGCTGAAATAAACATAAAATGAGAATTTAAATAGAATATTATGCTCTAATTAAAACAACATTCGGAAACCTGTTAGAAATGTTTAGTGTATATTAGCAATACCTGATAGAAAGTTGGGGGGAATTTATTGCGCAGATCCAGTAGCAGTGTGTCAACTCTCTGCCTTTGGAACAAAGAACTCGGCTCCTCTTTCCGCTTAGATTTAGGCTTTACCCTTTCTATAAATAACACATACACAACACTATTTTAGCACTTCTGGTACAGTTGTACTTCCTGCTGCTGTGTGTGTGTTCTCACCTCTCTCCTCCTGGTCTTTAAAGTGCCACCAGTACCCTTTGGACGGGTGGTACCTGCAGAAAGACATCGCCTCATCAAACGCAGACTGAATACCATGAACCGCTGAGAGCTAGGACACATCAAAACAAACAAAATTTAATGTTCAGAGAAATAAAAGAGTTAGAGAGATTATTATTCTAGGGTTATAAACGCACCACTCTGGAACTGATGACTGATCCCAGGTCAGGCGCTTGATACACCACTCCAGCTATGATATAGTAGTCAGCAAGAGGGATCACTGGGAAGGGAAACACATACATGTTTTTTTTCTGCAAAGAAATTTAATGTCAGCATGTTGAATGTAAAGTCAACAATGTCAGCATGTTGAATGTAAAGTCAGCAAAAAGCAGGAAAAGAGCAGCAAGGGAAACCGAGCATACAAAAAGATTTTAAAGTTATTTTTTCTGCAAAGAAATTTAATGTCAGCATGTTGAATGTAAAGTCAGCAAAAAGGACCCCATTTATTGTGATAAAGAACATTCCTGGTCTTTCAGAATTCAAAAAATAGTATTGTAAAAATACTACTACTACTACTAATAATAATAATAATTATAATATGTAATAATTAAATGTAACAACCTCTGAAACAACTTCTGTCACCTAAAATTATCTTGCAATTCAATCTCTCAATTTAAATGAACAGAGTAACTGCAGAACAAGGGGGACAAAGATGTAACGTGTAAAAACTTGTTGCATTAGTGATTAGTAGAAGCTATTAATCTATTAAATGTTCAAACTGACTAAGGCATTACTTTTGTAATACCACTTCACTGTAAAATAAATGCTAATGAAAAAATTATGTAAATTCAAAGCAAAATGATTATTGTTTTTATAGTAAAATATCTTTAGGCAACCTGAGTGTTTTAACGCCAGTATGCAAATTGCATAGACAGTCTTTAAGCAAAACACATATAGACAACAACATCCTATGTTTAAAATGTTTTGAAATTGTCCTTTTTGTCATTCTGGTGCACTTTGAGAGCAAAATTAAGAGCTGGAACCTTTACAGTGTCCATCTTAAACAGAACAAAAAATATATACATTGATTTGTACCAGGACTTTAAAAAGGACTCTAAATTCTTTAGTATTAGTGAGTGTCTCAGTCCACATTACATTGACACTGATGATTTAGAGAGATAAACCAGATAAATATAATACATTTAGTATTATTATTATCATAATCATCAACCCTAACAACAACATGTACTGTTTAAATGGCTTTGAAACTGTACCAAACATTGTTATTTGTGATAAGTATAATTTTAAACTATACTTGACCTGGATTGCAAGTCTGTCAACACTGCAACTGATACAAAAAAAGCATCATCTGAAAACACAGTGCAGGCACCAAACTAAAAATATTCTCAAATTACCATATTAAAAGCAAAAACGGCAACACAGACAGCAGAATCTGAACAGCAGTGGAGAAACTCACCTTGTGTTGGTGACTGTCTCTGCTGTTTTCTGATGATGTACAGAATCGGCTCCTGAGCATGAAGCAAAATATATTCCACACCCACCATCTGACTACACACATAGAAAACACAATTAGACACAAACAACACAGCTCCACCTATTTTAATTGAATAGTTAACAAAACAATCAGTAGTGGCAGTAAAATAAATACACATTCATGTATAATACATGTATAACAAAATATACCTGACATGCCTAAGAGTATATTATGTATAACACGGTTTTAATGGCATAGTGCAGTGCTTACTTGAGGTGATCCAGGGTTAATCTCTGCATTTTGACCACCTCGTTGTTGCAGGTGCGATCATAGAAGGGGTTGCTCCTCTCGGAGAAATACTCCAGTACATTGCTGGGGTTCAGGATGGGCACCCAGCCACTGTCCACCCACGAGATGCCCAGCAAATTATCTGACAAACACAAAACAAAAAATCATATTCGAATGCGAATATTTCCGTCAAGGAAAAAAAAAAAACACTAAAATATATCGTAGACATTTCAGATAATACTGCGCGCCTTCAACAACAACAAACCATAGTGACAATGCTAAAGAGCAAAGTGATTATATTGGCCGGACAAAGCCAGCATTCTGTTAAACTATTTTATATTTCTTATACAGCATTTCAACGTGATGGCAAATGGGATTTGCTAGGAATAAAGCTGTCAAAGAAAATAAACTATCTGCTAATTAATTCGCGAAACCAACAAACTACCTCTTAAATCCAGCGACGCCATCTTCACACGCTGACGCAGGCTGATGACACAATAACTGTCGACGCTCTATGACGCTTCCCTTTTAATTACTCCATGTAGTAGTCAAAAGCAACCCTTAAAAAGACCACAAAGACAGGTTTACAATTTGAGAATTTGCTATTGTGAATGTAAAATTTGCTTAAGAAAATAATTAAATTTATAATAAAACAAATATTTTCTTTTGTGGGGTCTAAGTCAAAATACCCAAATATAATGTTTCTCATTTGAAAGACAAAATCTTGTCTTTCAAGTGTCACTACTGTTGATATTTTGCATTTTGTACTGTTTTGTATGTTCTTGTTTTCAGCAATAAAAAAATAAAAAATAAATGACAAATAAATAAGTCAAAAGAAACCCAATTCAAAATTATGAATTAAAATGCCTTTCTATTTCGTTTCATGGTTAAAATTCAGTGTTGAAAATGCCCGCTTCTCCTTATGAAATTCCTATGCTGAGGAACATATGATTTTTGTGTGTGCTTTTTTCTTTCTTTTGCTTTTTTTTTTTAAAATTTATCAATCAATACTTGTTTGATTTGCTGCTAAAACATAGTTTGCTAATAAAGTATTGAAGCAAGTCCTAATAAGTTTTATTATTATATCTGCATTGTGCAGAACATTACATCATACATCACGGGATCGTTTATTTAATAATGTTTGTAATACACACACACACATTATATATATATATAAAATAGTCAGGCTAATTCTTATGACACAGTCTTAACATGAAGGCTACGTTTATGCAAGTAAGCAAGTAGCCCTCGGGATCTCACTAAGATCAGTCTTAGATCAGTCTTACTATGTTTACAAGTGTTCAGTCACACACACACAATGATGTACAACATTTTAGATTTTAAAGGAGTTCAGTTAAGACAAAAATAATTATATTCTTAATAATGTAGGCTATAGTCAACATGACCATGAAAGCAAGAATTAGGAAAGATGCCTCTGGACCTAATTAAAACTACATTGGTTGGAACATCATCACTACAGAAGAATTCATCAGAAGGGACAAAATACCCAACAGACTCCCTGCAGGCAGAATTCTGCAAGAATATCCTATGAGTGCAGTGCAGCGGAAAACACCACATAATGCCTGCAGAGCAAAAACAGGATTATACCCAAAAAAATCCAGAAAAGGTCTACTTCATTCCACATCTACATGAGCCACAGTCATACTCTACAACCCCAACGCCAGTCAAGCTCAAATGCCACTAATCCTTAAAGGGATAGTTCACCCAAAAATAAAAATTCTGTCATTAATTACTCACCCTCATGTTGTTCCAAACCCGTAAGACCTTCGTTCATCTTCGGAACACAAATTAAGATATTTTTGATGAAATCTGAGAGCTCTCTGACCCTCCCATGCAGCAAGGATCCTTACATGATCAAGGTCCAGAAACGTAGTGAGGACATCGGTAAAATAATCCAGAACATTTCTTTTTAAAATAATCAAAAGAAGGGTATTAGGAGCAATTATAAGTCTATAACTAATAAAGTCACAAACTATACTAACCTGCCATCAAGGATAAAAAATACCGCGAGGCCATCGGCAAGTACCACCGCGCGTTGCTGGAAATGAAGGGTCTGTGTCGCGTGCTGGGGGACCCTGACACCAGCAAGTCCCCCTCCACCGTCCTGACCAGCATCAGCAAGTCCAGCCTGACAGACGAGCAGAAAGGCGCGGTGGAGAACGCGGAGCTGGAGTGCTACAACAGCCTGGCAGGTGGGAACGCACATCACTTTCACCACTTTGACCATTGGATTTTCAGTGCACTTAGGACTGTTTTCTATGTATTCCACCCGTTAAGACTGAATGCAAGGCAAGCAGACCATAATATTCACATTAGTGCTGGGTTTCAGTGGCAAATTGTTAGATTTGGTTTCTCCAACCCTGAATATGCCTTGAAAGATGTGAATGTCTTCAATTCTGCATATAGAATGACGTCATGGTTTGTCTAGATTGCAGGTCTTATACCTACGTTTGATTATTAAACTGCAGAAAACATGATTAAGTATCATAAACACGAATCATCAATTTTGCATTGGTGCCATTCGTTCTGTCTGTGTTTGCATGTAGCATGTCTGTTGCAGATGGAGCTAGTGAATTATGAACGAGTGAAAGAGTACTGTCTGAAGGTTTTGAGAAAGGAGGGCGAGAATTTTAAAGCCCTGTATCGCTCTGGTGTGGCATATTATCATCTGGGAGACTTCAACAAAGCCCTGCACTACCTGAAGGAGTCACACAAACAGCAGCCCACAGGTCAGTCGGATCAAACTCTCACACACTACACTAGGGTTCATGGACCTCCGGAAGTCTGTCTCAAATCTCACTGCACAACCACGGAAAGTTATGAGAGTGCAACACCAAATGTTCACATTTCCAGGGGCCTTGGTTCCATAATACATTTCCTATTCATTTAGTTTCCTTTATAAATGTTAGCTTTGGAACATAACCACACTCTGAAACGAACCACAACATTGCAACATTTTATTTGTTACAAGTATGATATCTTGTTGAGAATTGCAAAGTTGATTAAGAGTGAGATGCATTCGATTATAAGAGGCTGATCGAAAGAGGTCCTTGGTTCAAAAAAGTTTGACAAATACCAAATGCAATTATGTGTTTCTGATGTCATCAAAAAACAGAGTAAAAAGTAATTGTTACATTTGCAATAATGTGAACCAATGAGGTCATATTACAACAAAACAAATATCTCAAAGAACAAGTGAAAAAGATTTTAGAAAATGCCAGTCTAGTCTGATTCACTTGCCAGTATGATGATAATATACTGTATTAAGTGTAAATCATCTTCTTTTATACTCTATACTAAGTCGCAAAACACTATCTCAGCATTTCAGGGCTTCATTTGAGCTCTTACACAAGTCTTATGTGTTCAGGTGCAAGTACAAGAAGCAGCTTCTGAACCCAAAACACCTGCTCTTCAGGACAACAGTGATTGTGCTGATAGATTAATAATAAATAATCACAAAACCGAAATGATTTTTCTTTCACTACACTTCCTGCCCGCGTTTTCTCAGTTAAAACAGCTGTTTCCTCTTTGTCTATGCATGTGGAACAGACACAAACGTCATCCGCTACATCCAGCTCACGGAAATGAAGATTCGACGAAATGCCCAGAGAGAGAAATCAGAAGTTCCGTAAAAACAGCAGCTCCCGCTCGAATAGCTTTCCACTGCGGACACCCCACACTTCCCTCATCGCACTCTCTGTGGACGAGGTTCAGCATTTCACGGAAGACTTTATTCCAGTGCGGGTCAACACACCTGTCTCAGTCCTGTCAGAAACAGTCTCTGGCTCAGACTGAAGAGCTGAATCAGGTGTGCTGTGCCCTGCTGTAGACAGTGGAGACCATGGATGGAGACCACCAGGGATCTCAATGGCATTTATTATGCTTTTTGAAGTACAGTAGTGCTGTCAAAATGTTTGCTTTTATTCCTCGGTTGCATTTAAGTGAAAAACTAACAGATGTATGTCTCTCAAAGTGGTTGTGGTCTGAAGTTGTGCTCCACAGAACACCCTCAGATCATTTTGTGGCTGGTGAAACATAGTTTACATATTCCTGCAGCTTTTTCATTTGCATATTGTTTCCAGATCATGACAAAGATGTTTTTATTAGAGATTCCGAAGCAGTTCTGCTGGAAACACATGAAGCTCCTTCATTTGAAGTGCAGTTAAGTGGCACTACCAGTGAAACCGATGCCAATCATATACAACCTACTCTTCACTTAACACCCACATTCAAATCGCAGTGGGAAAGATCTCACACGCAGAGAGTGGGCTTAAGTGTACACACACACACACACACACACACACACTCAGTGGGCATGAGTGTAAGCATGTGAATCAAGCACAGTCTGACACGCATACAAAAGCATGTAGGAGTAAAATAAACTGGTCATTGTTATACGTAGGAGTGTGTGTTTTTTTGTCCATGCTGGGTTGATTTATCTCTGATTCTTACTGATGGTGAGGAGTGAAGATGTTAGTTTGATGATAATCTTTTAATTTTGACAGAGAAGGGATTTTATCTATCTATATTTTCACTGTAATCAACTGCTTATTATGGGTTTTACTTGCAGCTAAACGGCAGGTACACAAAACTGTCCAATTCAGTGCTCCATTCTGGTTGCTATGGTGAGGTTGCATAGAAATCTTTCTTGGAGACAGATGGGGAAGCTGTCCTAGATATGCAACAGAATGTGTAACAGAAGAATGAAATTTCATTAAATTGCTGAGCAAATATTCAGTATTTCTTAAATTTGCAGTAATGTGGACCAATGAGGTTGTATTACTACAAAACAATAATCTCACATTTAATAAATCCCATATATATATAATTATTATAAAAAATGGTGAATAGGGTGGGTCAAATTTTATCAAGTGGCTAATCACAGTACACTAAGACAAGTTTTGTATTAGAAGATTTATGAAAGGTTATGCTTCAATATGCAAATTATGCATTATCTAATGAAATATGCATAGATTTGCATACAATTCCAGAACAGAAATCTGAATATCAAATAAAGCTATGTTCAAAATTCTTATTTTTTTGAATTCTTGTTTTATATCATATTTCTTTGGATTGCTCCAGAAATAAGAAAATACTGTCCACTGCCAGAAAATAAATTCACCGTGTTTTTAGGAATAAAATGTTACATAAATCAGGTGAATTATTATATATGAATTAAGCCCTTTGTAAAAAACCTTCAGAATATAGTTAGGAATAGAATGGAAAAGTCTGGTCTACATAAGTAATAAAGTAGAGATTTCTGGCTCAGTGCAGGATCAAAAAAAAAAAACATTTTGAGAAAACAGCCTTTGAAATACAAAATTGAAATCTACAGATGCAAATAGATAAAGTAATAAAACAAACATTTAAATGTGTATTTTGGATGTTTTCTTTCTACTAGTTTGAAGCAAGACATGGAAGCAAAATAGCTCAAAATTGATCAGTGCATGAAAAAATAATGGGTTTGTCTTGTCTTAATGTTTATATTAATAGAGATGAAATAGAGAATGCATTTGGAAAATGGCAGTCAAGTCTCATTTAATTGCTGTGATTATGATAATATGTGAAAATCATTTTCTAGAGTTGTGTCCTAAGACAGTCAGTCACAAAACACCACATCTCAGCTTTTCAGGGCTTTAATTGAGCTCTTACACAAGTCTAATGTGCTCGGGTGCAAGTACAAGTTTCATAGCAGCAGCTTCTGAACCCAAAACACCTGCTCTTCAGGAAAACAGTAATTGTGCTGATAAATGATAGCAGATGCTCTTGATGATGGCTACACATTCCTTTAAGCCATAAAAAATACCGCTGTTCCACATACAGATGGAATGAAATGAGAGTTCTCAAATCCTCAGCCAAATGTCCTTGCCAGATTTCAGGACTCTGCATTCTACTGCAAGTTCATTTTGCCGTATGCATGAAAAATTATGTTCAAAATCTGGTTTCAGGTGACAGAAAGGGCAAGACAGACATAAGCACTTGTGTTTTGGCTCTAAATGTTGTTTTGTCTCTAGAGGGCCTCTTCACCAGTGTAGAGATGAAAGATTGGACTGAGACGGAGGACAACGAACACTGCTGTAAACGTGCAAAAGAATGTTCACCTTGAATGTCTGAACATGTTCAGAAATGTTTGTCTTCATCAATTTTATCTTAACAAAAATGTGAAAAATATAAAAATAATTTAAATAAATAAATATGTGTAAACTTATATGAACAAATATTGCACTAAAAATTGCAAAACAAATTCAATATGCATTCTCAAAAATCTCCAACAAAATTCAATGTACATACACCTTGGAATCCATCAGTTACACTGAATTGCATGCATAACACACACATACACACACACACACACCTGTGTACCTGACTATTGTATAGCTGAAAATGTAGAGCCAATAAATTCTAACTTAAAAATTCTTTAAGACGTTTCCCCATGTTTAATACTGGTGGTTTGGATAGTGAAGAGGTCACTAAACAAGCATATTATTTGTGAAAGACTATGTGTTGCATGCTACAGTGAAAACCACAGAACAATCAGTGATCTCGAATGATCTAAATATGAGAAGTATGACAGAACTATACATTCATGAGAACGGAAAAAGCACTTCTAAAGGTGTACAATCTGATTTATGTATGAAAAATAAAACCTGAAGTCTCCAATGAGTAGCAGAAATAAACCATCCACCATAAACCATGTTCCCCAGTTAATTCAGTGCTGTTCAGAGAGCTAAATCTAATATAAACATGCAGACATGTGTACAGTACATACAGAGAGGAAGTCAATACAGCGCAGCAGGACAGCTGAGATAATACACTCAATATGAATAAAAAAAAAGATAAATAAAATAAAAATATAAATAAAAAAAGTGTCCTGATAAATGTCTTTCAAGATCTCAGCTGCAGACCCTGTACTTTTCTAAAGCATTCAGAAATCAGTCCTGCCATTAAAGAAGCATCTGGATTGTATTTTTATTTGATAGCTTATAATGCCTGGTGGTAAATAGTAGAGTTTACCGAAGAAGAGCTTATTAAACGCACTGTTAGACCCCACACTGCAATAAACAATATTCTTTCTCAGTATTTTTGTCTTGTTTTCCAGTATAAATAAACATTCTTAAATCAAGATACAATTACTTTGAGAAGCAAAATGATATAAAATTGTTTTCTGAAAAATATAACAATTTACACTTAAAACGAGAAAAAGGAGTAAGAAAATTAACTTGTTTTCCCTTTAAAGCAATTGTAGGTCATTTTTCCCCCTTGAAATATCAGTTTCAAAATCATTCTGATGGTACATTAACTTCTTATAAGGTGAATGGCTTCTGTTTCTTTCCCACTCTCCCCCCAAATGTCTGTTCTGTGAGCTGTAAGTTTAGTGAGAGGGAACTAAATTCAGAGAGAAGGGCGAATTGCTTTATGGCAACAACAAATTTAGGTGTACAGCTATTGTATTTACGACAGTGAACTTCACTCACTTAACTGTAGGGGGCTCTAAAGTCGCAAAAATACACAAAACTACATACAGTTGATTTAAATTGGACAAATATTTCTTCTTCTTTTAAGCATAAAGTAACTTAATTCTGATCATTTTTTAAGAAAACAGGACTGTTGATTCAGTCATTTTGATTTTCAAGTAAATGTATCTTGATTTAAGAATGTTTAGATATTTGTACTGGAAAACAAGGCAAAATACAGAGGAAGAAAATGAGGAGTGTATATATGTGTTGAAAATCTGTAATATTCAATTGGACATAGATTAGACCATAACTGCATCTGGATTATGCAAAAACCAAGCACCTTTGGTTTATGCTGGGTAATTAATCCTTATCACTACAATCAGTTCTTAATATTGTGAATACATACATATACTGAAAAAAAAAAAATTTCAAACCAGACCAAGTTAGTTTGCTGGTCTTAGTTGGTCTTCTAGTCCAGTCAAGTTGGTCTATTGGCTGGTTTAAGAGGGGTTTTGGGCACTTGGGCGACAAGTTGACCACCCAGCTAGCTTGACCAGGCTTAAACCAGCTAAGACCAGCTTAAACCTTACGTTTGCTAAGATAAGCTAACCATCTTACTCTGGTTTAAGCAGTTTTTTTTTCTCCAGAGTATCCAGAACTCCCCTTGCATTGACTTGATAGTCTAAGTGCTACATCTTAAACCAAGTGGGTCTAAATTTGTGAAGGTGAAATCAGGAGCAAAACCCTGGTCGCACTCTGTAAGGTGAGTCTCTGGCATCTGACGAGAGAGGCCGTGTCCCATCCCTGTATTGTCCTTCATCCCGTTGGTCCAAAAGGCTGTCATTTACCCAAGGGGAACAGGGGGTTGGTGGTTCCATTGGAGTGGGCAAGACAGCTACACCTCCTCCAAACTCCACAGTGGATGGGGTTTCAGTGCTGGACGTGTGGGCGGGAGATTCGCCCCACTGGGATCCACAGCGAGCTCGTGGACAGGGGCGGGGCCTAGCCAGGAAGTCCAGAGTCTTGGGACGCTCAGGCTGGAAGCGCCGACGTGGCGTAGGTGGGAAGATGAGATTTGGATCAGGAAGACGGGGCACCTCTGAGGGGTCCTCACTTAAGGTCCACGGAGTCACTGCACATACAGCATCACAAAAGGCACAAAATGAAACCAAATTACAGCTACGAACTGAATCAGTTTCTGTGAAAGGAATTCAAATTGTGTTAACTGAGGGATCAATGACGTATCAAGAAAAGGAATATTTTAAATAGGTTGGAAATCTAGTTTAAAACATGTACCAAGTTCTCTCTAAATCTACTCTTTGTTGGTTTTTATGTAGTTTCACAAAACTTCTATACTATTTTTAAGAAACGTTTAAATTTAATGACAATGTAGTTTACCTATCAAACAAAAAGTTATATATTTTTTCTACACACCTTAAAAACAAGAGTGTAAACATTTTAATTATCAATTAAATTCCAATATAAATAAATCAATATTTATGATTTAATAATTTATGAGTTATAATATAATGTTATTTCTATATTTACTATACTATATATTATTATTTATAATTGACCAAATTATATTATATTATTATAATACCAAATTATATTATATATTATATTCTTATTTATTTATAATATATGAGTTAATATGAGAATTAATTAAGGAATTAATATGAGATTTAATCATATTTTAAGACTTGTGAATTGTGAAATAGTCAAATATAATTTGTTCTGCATGTTTTTTGCATGTTGGTTGCACCACATGATTTTGACAAATATTTGAAAAAATACTTAAAAAATGTGAACAATATTCTTTTAAAATTATATATTTAAAAATATTTTAATATGAATAAACAGTGAAGTTGTTTTGTTAAAATATTTTTTTCTAAGTTGAATGATAATAAAAGATGATGCCAAACTTCC